CGTGGGGATGAGCCACATAGCTCCAGCCCTCAGGGTCTCCAGCCACATGAGCAGGTAACTTGTGTGGAGTCTGGTTTGTGCCCGTGTGTGCTGGGAGAGCTCAGAGTCAGGGTCAGGGGCAGCCCCACAGCAGCTGGGGAATATGGGCGTAGGGACAGGAGGTGCAGGCAGGAGCTGCCATTCATAGAGGCCGGAGTAGGAAAAGCCCCACCACAAAGTTCCATGAGTGGCAGACTTGGGACCTTGGATCTTTTCCCAGAATCAGCAGGGAGCCATCCAGAGTTTCTAAGTGGGGTGGTAACAAGCAAACACCGCACTTGTGTTCCATGAAGCTAATTTTCAAAAGCACCCTTGACAAGGTGTTTTCACACACATCCCAGCATCTCATCCTTCCTCCACCGTCTATGAGAGAGGAGGGCAGCTAAGACGTCGTGTGGAAGAGAAGACCCAGTGGCAGAGAGGAGGCTCGCTGGGATTGCTCAGGATCCGTGAGGCAGCACCACGCTCCATCCAGGGCTCTGGCGTCTGGGTCCTGATCGCTGCTGCAGCTCTTCCAAGGAGAAATTCATTTACAAAAACTATAAGGCAGAGAGAAAATGATGACATTTAATATTAATGATAATATGGTTTCTGCCACCTAGTGAGTGTCTGCTGCCTGCCAGGAGCCGCACCACCACTATAAATGCGCTATCTCATTTAAGCCATGTAGCAATTTGTGAAGCTAGCTAGTAATATTCTCCTCTGTGGAGGAGGAAACTGAGGTTCAAAAAAGCTACCTTCTATTTCTGCAGATCTGGGATTGAACTCCAGCTCCCTTGCTCTTTAGATGTTGTAATGTGGTCGTGGGCAGAGGCTCACACCTGTCATCTCAGGACTTTGGGAGGCTGAGGTAAGAGAATTGTCTGAGCCCAAGTTTAAGACCAGCCTGAGCAGGATAGAGGGACTCCATCTGTATACAAAAATTAGCTGGGCATAGTGGCATGCACCTGTAGTCACAGCTACTCAGGAGGCTGCGGCAGGATGATTACTTGAGCCTGGGAGGTCGAGGCTGCGGTGAACTGTGATGGAGCTACTGCACTCCAGCCTGGGTAAAAGAGTAAGACCTTGTCTCCAAAACAGACAAACAAACAAATACTGTAATATTCCCACTGCAGTCTGATGCCTTCCTTCTCCAGGTGGACGACCACCAGGTCGCCTCAGGTTCAGAACCTGTGCACCCGGACAGCACCAGGCCAGCTGTCCGCTGCCCGCCTCCCTCTCTGATGGCTGGATTCCTTACGGAACCCAGCCTAACTGCTCATGTGTGTGCTCCATAAATGGGTCAAGGGAAGAGTGTGCCAGAGTGGAAAGTCTACCTGCTTCTGCTCTCTGGGGCATTTAGCCAAGAACGGTGTGCATGGTTGGCCTGCCTGTGAATACAGCAGGCCAGTGGGTTAACACCTGGCAGGTTAGTAAGTTACACCTGCTTCTCCTTTTCTCACCTGAGAGAAGGGGCAGGAGGCCAAACATTGCATGGAAATTAGAGACAGTTGGTGGGGAGGGAGGCATTGGGAAGATCTTAGCATTTGGGGGTCAGGTGACGACTCTCTGTAGACACTCGCTGAACTGGTGTCATTGCGTGACTTCTCTTCTGCCTTTCTGCATGGCTTGCAAAATTTGGCTCCCTTTTCCAGGCTTGGTTTCCCCTTCTCTGTGTGCTCTGCCAATTTGCTTGAATCAATAAACAGAAGGAGGAAGTGACATTGAATGAGACAGTGACACCAAGGGGTGATTTCTGTGTGAAAGCCTAAAGGAGAGCCCGGATCCATGGAGAGAATGGGAGGAGGGGGTGTGTGCAAACTTTAGGCTCCCCAGAAGCCTTCCTGGAGGAGGCAGAGCTGGACGAGAGGGATCCCCGCCCCCGCCCCCACAGAGAATGTGGAGCGGGCCTCCCCATCAGACATCACAGGAGCTGCTGATGACTGGTGTGTGGAAGGAGGGGAGGAAAACCACCACGCAGAGCCTACGTTTGGAGCGTGGAAACGTGGCAGACTCAAAGTGCAGAGCGCAGGTTTCTAGTTCAGCTTGGCCTCTCCAGGGCTGCACAAGCTTGGAGAAAATTGTCCTGTTTTTAAACTTCCTTTTTCTCTTCTGTGAAATGAGAATCCTGTCTAAGTCACTTTATCTTCACACATGAGAGACTGACAGTGAAAGGGTTTTGCAAACCATAAAGCTCTGTTCAAATGCAAAGATGTGTTCTTCTACATGGGAACCCGACACCACTCCTAGGCTCCCTAACTGATACTTGCGAGGTGTCCCTTGTGCCTGTGCATCAGTGTTTGGGGGCTGCCTCTTGGTTCTCTTTCCTTTGCCCTGGATACAAACCCCTGAGGTCATGGGAACACACCAACCAAGTAAGCTGGACTTTGAGTCTGCATGGACTCAATCCAGGGGGCGTTTTCAGCTCAGCCCCAGGCTTGGGGAGTTCCGTTTCAGCTGGGCCTGACAGAGATGGATTCCTGCAGAATCTGCGACATGGTTCTTTTGTCCTAGTCTCAGTGAGACAGATTTAGGCCATCCCACTTTCATGTGAGCTTTCGCAGCTGGACCTGAACTGTTTGCTCACTTATGCACAAGGCATTTGTGCACCCCTGGCCAGGACCGTCTCTCCCTCTTTCCTTCCTTATTCCCTTACCCCTTTACCTCTCTGCTTCCCACCTCTCTTCTTCCATGTATGTCTTTCAACATTTTGAGGAGCACCTGCCAGGCCCATGCTGGGCATCATGGACAGCAGAGGTGAATCTAAGCATGGTCCCTGCCTTCGTGGGGCTCACGTGCTCCCAGAGGAGATGGGCACTTGAGTGCAAGACTGTAAACTGTAACATGTATGCTTCACTCAGGGAGGGGGGTCAGCTCTGGAGAGAGGGGGAGGGTGATGAGCAGACCCACCCAGGGTGGAGGGGCCCCGGGGGCACTTGCTCTGCGCCCCCTCTCTGCAGAGCTGCTGCACACATGCCCAGTGAGACACAGGAGGCACTGCTCAGACACATTGACTAAAGCGTTAAAGTTGTCTAGTGTTGCAAGATTCACAAAACCTGAACACTTTGATTCTTCTAATAACTGTATGAGGTGGTCAGCTGAAAATATGAAAGTAGTTCACAAAAGTCTGGTGGTGGATTGAGCCAATACCAGAAGCCAAGGTCAGCCTGCAGGGTGGGAAGTCAAGGGAGGATGGAGGGCCAGGAGTCAGGGGTAATCCCTGTAGAGCTGACAAATAGCACCTGACACATAGAGACACCCAGCAGGTAATGTCACCTCTTATTATTGGTTGCTGTTTTCCAAAGAAATGGACGGTGCCTAGAGACCATCCAATCTAACATCCTCATTAAACAGAGAAGGAATCTAGGGCCCAGACAGATGTCAGTGGGAAGGCAGCCATGGGAGAGCAAGTCCAGTCTCCCTGATTCTCAGCTGCGCATCCACACTCCCCACCATACAGAGCAGGCTGTCATGGGCCCCATGTTTTCTCTGCCATCAACTAGTTGTCATCATGCCTAGAGGTATCACCTGTATCCTGTTAGATACAGGAGCACAGTTTAAAGGCCATCAACATTCATGAGGATATAAACCTATCAAGTGAAAGCCACCTCACACTTGGCATCTCTAGTAGAGCCCAGCAGGGTTTGCTTACCTCAGGGTAGCCAATATGTAAAGCTGGTTATTGTCACAACAGACCTTAATGGTCTAGCATCTTCAACACTTAATTGCCCCTTATTAGATTGTCGCAGAATGAGATAATTGGACCAAGCACTTGAACTTCTGACTCTCCCCTGTTTATTTGGTGGTGCACACAGATGGGGAATTGCACAAGTGCCTTTTAAGGCCGGGGTTCTCAGAGCTCTGGGCAGACTGAGTTCACTGCCACTGTGTTTGCTCAGGGCGCGCTGAATTCATAACAGCTGCATTCCTGGAGTTTCTCGCTTTTATTTTTCTGCTTATAAGAAGTAAATTGTACATTTCCTTTCCCCTTTCCTTCTGTCCTTTTGTTTCCAGTACAAGTCCCTGTTATTAAAACACAATTCACTTCAGAGCCAGTTCTCTTGGGTTTATAAAAGTGCATATCTCATATTGAGCATAAAAGTCAAGGAAAGTTAATGTTATTCCTGAAGGAGAATGCGCTCGCTTTTGCAAAACAGAATGTAAATTCTGGCTATCTTGGCTGTTGGGTTTGGGATAAAGGAATATTTACATAACTTCCCTCCTTCAAAGTGATGCAGATATGGGCTTGAAAAAAAATGTCTGCCGACAGGCGCATCAGAGCCTGAAAAACCTTCACACCTTTGAAAACTGACTGGTGCTGCTCCAGGATTCTTGGTTGGTCATTGAGACACAGATATAACTAATTGCATGTTTTGTCATGGCATGATTTATAATAGCAACTTCTTAGACACAATCTAGATGTCCATCTGCTGGGAAGAGGGTAAGTAAATGATATATTCACTTCATGAAATAGTGGCCTTTTCACATGTGTTCAGCACTATTTATAGAGCCTACTGTGTATCAGGAACAGTGTGGGGAGGTAACTACATAATGATGAGTGGGAAAATTAGGCATAGCAATAACTGCTACAAGATGATGCTTTGGGGAAATCTTATAATTCTAAGTCAAAAACCCCCAGAAATGTTATTATCTCAATTTTGCTGAAAGCACGCAAAATGCTGGGAAGGTTGACTTATTTTTTGTTTTTAGATCTTCTTCCAAATATCTGTAAGGCGCACATAAAACATCTCTAGTAGGGAAAAACAAGAAAGATTTTATAAAAGCATTTGACATGCTCATTTGGAGGTTCCCCTGTTGGGAATTGTGTCTGTATCCAGGAATCACTGCACCTTTGGAAGTGACAGGAGAAGGTGTGTCCGCAGTAGAATGGCTGCTGGCCCCAGGGCGATGTTTTATCACCGGGAAGTCTGCAGGGTATTTATGCCTTCAGCTCATCCTGGTGCCCATCTTTCTTCCTCCAGACCCTCATGGGAAACCACAGCTTCTCCATACCCGTCCCTGTCAGCGCATTGATCTGCCGGCTGGTTTCCATAAGCACTTGGTCAGAGGAAACAAAAGTCTTACATCATTTGCTCCACAAACTCCTGTGGTGACTGGAACCCAGCTGCTGCTGTCTGAGGTAGCTTCGGGGTGTGTGTGTGTGTGTGTGTGTGTGTGTGTGTGTGTGTGTGTGGCGTTTATGAGAGGGGAAGAGAGAGAGCAAGCCCATGAAAGGGCTCTGTTTACAGTTTTGCCTTTGACCTTACACGACTACCTTGCAGTTTGTATTCCAGGATCCTGCCTATGGTAGAGCCTCAGTGAATACAAAATGGATATTGTTTCAGAGTAACTTTGTGAAGGATTTTTATTTTTGACTTAATGAGCTCTGTCTGAATTAAATTTTAAGGTGTATTGGGAACATTTACCTTTTATAGATGCCATAAACATTATGTTCCTTAATATTTGCAAGTTCCATGCATTAATGTGAGCTCCGTATTTGCAGAGGCCTCCAGGAAGCTGTAATTGAGACTCAGGTGAGTGAGGCAGGCCACTCAGGATACATCAGTGTCAGGGAACACGAGGGTTCTGGAAGCCCAGGAGAGGGACTCAGGCAGGTGTTGTGGGGGGGATTGGCAGTGCATTTGAGGAAGGTTTTCTGGAGGAGGCCATGTCTGAGCTGAGGTGTGAAGAATGGGTGTATTAGTCTGTTCTCACATTGCTATAAAGATACTACCCGAGACTGGGTCATTTATAAAGGGAAGAGATTTAATTGAGTCACAGTTCTGCATGGCTGGGGAGGCCTCAGGAAACTTACAGCCATGGCAGAAGGAGAAGGGGAAGCCAGGCACATCTTACATGGTTCTCTAATGGGACAGAACTAATAGGGTAGGTGCGTATATGAAGGGGAGTTTATTAAGGAGCATTGACTCACATGATTAGAAGGTGAAGGTGAAGACCCACAATAGGCCGTCCGCAAACTGAGAGGCCAGGAAGCCAGTGCGGGCTCTGAAACCTCAAAAGTAGGGAAGCTGACAGTGCAGACGTCAATCTGCCACTGAAGGTCAAAGCCCCTGGCAAACCACTGGTGTAGGTCCACGAGTCCAAAAGCTGAGGAACTTGGAGTTCGATGATCAAGGGCAGGAAGCATCCAGCACGGGAGAAAGATGGAGGCCGAAAGACACGGCAAGTCTGCTCTCCCGTCTTCCCCTGCCTGCTTTATTCTAGCCCTGCTGGCAGCTGATGGGATGGTGCCCACCCACACTGAGGGTGGTCTGCCTTTCCCAGCCCACTGACTCAAATGTTAATCTCCTTGGGCAACACCCTCACAGACACACCCAGGATTAATACTTTGCATCCTTCAACCCAATCAAGTTGACACTCAGTATTAACCATCACAGCTCTCAATGTGTGTGGCCTAAGTCTACAGGCTGGAGCCATTGGGAGGAAGATGGGGGGGGGTGTTAGGAGTGACCCCACAGCCTACTCATGGATCACACCTGGCGCCAGGCCAGCCTTCTCCCCCCCCACCCCCACCCCTCACCTCTCACCCAGCCCTGTGGGTTCCGCCTCCTTTCTGTCATTCTCTTGCTTGCACCTGCGCAGGTGGGGTGCAGTCCAGGCACTAATGCTCACCTGTCCCCAGCCTCCCCAGCCGCCCGTGCCACAGAAGCCTCCTCCCTGAGTCTGTCTGCTCCCCATGCCCCTTCCCCTTGTTAGCAGTTAAAACTGTTAATAGCATAGGTGAGGTGCCAGGCTCTGCGCTTGGCCTGGCGTTCGCACTCAGGGCTCATTGCCGTCATCATGTCTGTCCTTGTTCTTGTTGTTATTACTGGACTTGGAGTCAGAAGCAAGTTCGAATCCCAGCTCCACCACCCTTTAGCTGTGGTCCTTGGGCCACATGCCTAATCTCCCTGAATATCAATTTCTCGTCCATTAAACAGGAATTATAATTGCTCCCTTGCATTGTTGCTGAGATAATTAAATTAATTACATGTGCAAAATGTCAGGTCCCATTCCCTCCTGGAACAGGGAAAACCGTGTCTACCCAAGGAAAATCCATCCTGTATCCCTCCTTAGAGTTTCTGCAGGATCCCGGGGAGGTAAGGTGTGAAAAGTGGTTTGTGAATGCTGAAGTGCTATAAAAATGGTTAGAACGATGATTACACATTACAGTTTAGGGCAGCTGGGACAGAAGCTGGGGTGAGGTGAAGGTCTAGGCTCCTGCCTCTCAAGCCTCTCTCAGAGTCATGGGAGCAGGGTTGGGAGACAGAACTGATGAGGAGACCATGCATTTTGTGTTACTTGGAGTCAGCTGGAGTCCAGCAAACTCCCCAGGTCCTTTTCCACCCTGGACTCTGGCATCCATCTGTCCATTCCATGAGCACTTCACGAGGGCCCTTCCAAGCTGGGCGCCGCCATGGATGCAGGGGCTGGAGGGGGCAGGAGGACAGCCTCATGGTGCTTACTGTCTAGAGGTGAGATGGTTGGATAGGCAGTTGACAAGCAAGGCACACTGCCAGCAAGACCTCTTCTGCGGAGTCGCCCATCGCATGCCAGGCCTGCCCCTTTCAGTGGGTTCAATTCCCCCAAGGACTGTCTTATTTTCCTGCATAGCCCCAGCACCTGATGCAGGGCCCCACACCTAGAAGGTGTTTGATAAGTAGGTGTCAAATTGGACCAGCTCAGTGAAAGCTGACTTCTGTGCAGTAGAACCAACCCACAAGGTTTTTTTTTTAACATTGTATAGGAAATAAGGAGTTGAGGATTGCATCTTTTCAGGCAGTTTTTTTGAAAGACACAGCTCCTGGGTTCTGAGGAGATGGGAGGGCCCATCCGCTGCCCTCATCCCTCACTGTCGTGTGCACTGCAGTGGACCCCAGCTGCTCTGGGGCTAACTCTCCCTGCAGGTGGCCTCTGTGCTGTGGGCTCTGACAGCTTCCACCCTGCAGGCTTTTCTTCTGGCCACTGGGATCTGAGCTGGGGCAGCTGCCCTGAAATTGCTCAAGTGGGTATTTCCTCTGGGTTCCCATCACTTTCCTGCTTACCCAGAAACCAGCATGCTGAGGGCAAAGCCGGGGGCTGCTGTTGCCAGTTCCTAGGTTCCTGTGGCGGTTTTCCAAGTGGGATCAGAGCGACGCTCTGTTGCCTTTTGTGCCTGGTGCAGCATCTGAGCCTTCTCTGCCTTCACGGGCAGCCCTCTGGCCACACCCTTATCACAGCTTTCCCTGGCCCCGTTTCCTCACCTCCCAGCACCGGTCGTCAGACTGCTCTTTCTTTAGAAAGGCAGCACTTTTTATATCACTCCTGCGTGCAAAAATACTTCTTACATCCGCCCCCTCTTATCTGCAGGGTAAAATCCAAGCTCTCTTCCTTGGCATTGGAGCTTTCTACCCTCTTGAGTGTCGCCTCCTCCTCCTCCTCTCTCCAGCGTGGCATGCCAGCTCACCCACCCGGTGGCTCCTCCCGAAATACAGTCTGTATCTCCCAGCCCCCTGCCTCCCTGGAAGCTTTCCCCACATCAAAGCCCTCTTGCTTTCTGATGCTGGCAGGGTCTGTCTGTTGGAAGCCAACTGTAACTTTGCATTCTGTTACTTTATCTGCACCGTCTCACAGCATTCATCCCTTTCCCCGTATGTGCACAGAACATGTGCCACCGTCTACATATGCAGACATGCATGTGTGTATATGTATCCTGGAGGCTATTCATCCCAGGGCCTCAGGCTTCTCCCCGAGCCCACCACCCCACTGGGAGGCAGCTCTTGGCTTCTTTCTGAGCTCCTGCACAGAATCCACTTGCATGGCAAGACTGAGCACTGCAGATTTACTGAAGAGTCTGTCAGGGAGCCCAGGAGGATGACACGTCATCAAGTCTATCGCAGGCAACTGAACATCCCCACCAGGACGCCGCTCATACCCCGGGATCCTCTCTCAGCGTGGAAGGGCCCAGCAATGGATGGGGAGCTGGAACTGCGCCTGGGGTGCTGTGTGGCTCTTCCTGGACCAGCTACTTGCTCAGGTTTCCAGGTCTCAGGTCACTCAGTTAAGCAGGCCACATCCCAGAGAAATCCCGACTGTGGTCAGAGTTCTGCTGTGCGCTGCTACTGACACTCCTGGAAGCACCTTACTAGTGGGCTTGGCTGTTCTGCCCTGACCTGGACACCTGAGCAAGTAGCTGGTTCAGGAAGAGCCACACAGCATCTTCCTGGAGGGGTGCCAGTAAGACCAGTACCAAGGAGTACTAGTGAGACCAAAATCTAGTACCCCTCGGAGCCCACGGCACACCTTTGCAGTCAGTAGCTGTTGATGAACATGGAGTTGTTTACTTTTGCTCCACCATCATGGTACTTGTGCTTGAAGAAACAAATGCAATGTTTGGCCAGGTGCGGCGGCTCACACCTGTAATCCCAGCACTGTGGGAGGCCGACACGGGTGGATCACCTGAGGTCAGGAGTTAGAGACCAACCTGGCCAAATGGTGAAACCTCATCTCTACCAAAAATACAAAAGTTAGCCGGGTGTGGTGGCACATGCCTATAGTCCCAGCTACTCGGGAGGCTGAGGTAGAAGAAGAATTGCTTGAACCCAGGAGGCAGAGGTTGCAGTGAGCCGAGATTGCGCCACTGCATTCCAGCCTGGGTGACAGAGCAAGATTCCATCTCAAAAAAAAAAAAATGCAATATTTATTCTTTCCCCTCATCTTCCAAGCTGAGATAATCATCACAACCAGCATGGAGTAGGTGCCTGCAATGTTCCAGGCCCTGTTGTAGGCACCAGGCACCCTTCAGCTCACTTCGTCATCACCACCAACTCCAGAGTGGACCGACAGAGAAGCTCATTGCTTTCCCAGGATCTCACAGCTAGTGAGTGGCAGAGGTGGGATTTGAACCTAGCCGTCTTGGTCCAGAACCTGAGCTCCCAATGGCTTTGCAGCAAGCACTAATCGACATAGAGTCATCATCGGTGTCCACGCGGCATTGTTTCTAGGACCTCCCAAGGAGACTCACATCCGAGGATGCTCAAGTCCCTGATACAAAATGGCATGACATTTGCATATAACCAACACACATCCCCCGTGTGCTTCAGATCATCTACTTAGAGTTCTTATCATCACTATAATACCTTGTGCAATGCAAATGCTTTG